AGACATAGAGACAGAAAGCGAGAAATCACCCCCCAGGGGGGATGGTCACGCCGCAATCCCTTCTCCTCCATTCTCCTCTCAGGATTTTGGGCACGCACGCACACGTGCCCGGCGTGAGTTTTAAGCCACCGGGTCCAGGACGCGAACCGCGGTTGACTACGTGGGAGTCCAGCGACATAGCCATTACGCTAACTGCTGGTTCCCAAAACTTCTAACCTGGTTCAGAGGTGTCGAGCTGGGATTCCTCTGATAACACATAGAGAATCCAAAAATCCAGACCATTTCGCACCTGGGCCACGTATCCTGAAGAACCCACCGCCTGTGTTTATCCTAGGGGTGAAGCAAGCCTGCTGTGAGTTCCTGGAAAGTCAGTTGGACCCTTCTAACTGCCTGGGCATCAGGGATTTTGCCGAAACTCACAATTGTGTCGACCTGATGCAAGCAGCTGAAGTTTTTAGCCAGAAGCATTTTCCCGAAGTGGTGCAGCACGAAGAGTTCATTCTTCTGAGTCAAGGAGAGGTGGAAAAGCTAATCAAGTGCGATGAAATTCAGGTACAGATCTGGCTGGGTTGTGTTTCTCTCAGATTGGGCCATCGTGAGACCTGGGAAGCAGAACGAAGTTACTGTGTTTCTGTGTCAGCCTCATAATCCAGTGTCTATATTGGCTCCGAGAGTTTGATTAATCCTCCAAAACTACCTACCAAATTTATTTCCATATTTATGGGGAGGGAGTTTACTATTTTCCTCATTTGGGTAAGAATCACTATTAAGTGATTAACTGAGTGTAGAATAAGCAGAAATTAGAAGTAGGTTTTTGTAGAATACTTCTCTGTTAGTCACTCATTTTACAAACACTTATTGAGACTATCTTCTGTGTAGCAATCACCGTGCTAGGTACTACAAGTGCGCAAGTGGCTGTAATCAAGTCACTTTCAGAGAATTCGCAGTGTAGTAGTAGAGACAGACTTGAAGACAGTATCATGAGAATATGGGGGTCCTGCCAAAAATTCATGGAAAATGAATACTATAAAAAACTGCATAAATTTTAACTTTTTTTTTTGCATCAAAGTAAACTCATACTTTAATTCCATTTTTCTGTGAACTTTTTTCTTTTATTCGTAATAGAGCATGTGGTCATTGACTTGAGAAAGAGAGAGGAGCACCCTCCACAGCATCTGGCTATGCCTTGATCCCCTTGCTTCAGTCTCCAGCCTGTTGTGCTCAGGGCACTTGCATGGTGCCTGTCATATTTTCAGCTGACCTGGCCAGGGATTATGAACTCCAATTACTATGTGAGATCCAGCTTCTCTGGAGCAGCTCATTAACACTGTGCCATGGAACCAATCCCTCCACAAACTTAGCAAGTCCCCTTCTGTAATGAAAATAATGAGCCTATACAAGATACGGAGATTACATAGGAGAGAGAAGAGTAAACCCTTGCCTGGGAGTGCATCAGAGTGGATGAGACAGAAGTTTACAAGATAGGATCTACATAAGCAGCAGCCAGATCACACCTGCCTTGAGCGAGGGGATGGCAGGAAGGGGCATACAGGAATAGCACTTTTCCTTGCAGAGTTCAGGAAACTGCCAGTGCGAGGCAGAAGTTTAATGACTTAACCCCACAAGAAGAGTTTTAACTCAGTCCTAATTCAAAATCAGAATATGAATAGTTTTTCAGGGTTTGTATTACTCATAGATCTTTAGTTTGGTGAAGAATTGGCTATAGAAGGACTAGCAGATGCCGTAATAGTTACATTGCTGGACTTCCATGTAGTCGACCGCAGTTCGAGCCCCAGATCTGGTGACTTAAACTCACCCTGGGAGCAATGTGTGCATGCCTAAAATCCTGAGAGGACAATGGAGGAGAAGAGATTGCAGCGTGGCCATCCCCCTGGGGGATGAATTCTCACTTTTTGTCTGTCTCCAGCATGCACACAGGCCCTCTAGCAAAATCTCTCTTTAAAAAAAATAAAATAAGCAATGAGAAGTCCAATATAGGGCTGTTAGATGTCTTTGGAGGCATGGCCTCCACTTCCAGTAGCCCAATTTTTTAACTTAGTGGCTTATACAAAATACCTGACAGCAAGGGTCAGCAGGTGACATGGTGACTGAGGCACTGGACTCCCACATGGCCAACTGCAATTCAAATCCCAGACCTGGAGGCCTGCTTTCTCACTTTCCCTCCCTCTCTGGTGGGCATACCTGTCCTATAGCAAATTAAATAGTAATAATAAATGAAATTAAATTAAATAAATAATTCTTTAAATATATATATACACACACACACACACACACACATATATTTTATATATATGTTTATATATATATGCATGTATGTGTGTATATATAAATAAATGTATATATAAATAAGTAAAAGAAAATGCCTGGCAGAAGCCCAGCAGGTAGTATGGTGGTTAAGGTGCTGGATCCCAGATGGCCTACTCTGTGGCTTGAGTCCTGGACTCTGCAGCTTGAAAAATACACCAGGCATGTGTGTGGGTGTGCCCAAAACTCCTGAGAGGAGGAAAAAAGATCGTGGGTGACTGTCCCCCTGAGGGGCGCTTTCTAGCCTCTACCTCTCCAGCAAGTGTATGTGCCCCATGGCAAAAATCGGAACAAGAGAGAAAAGACCTGGTGGAGCCAAGTGGCAGAATAATAGCCTACCTGCTGGGTTTTGTTTCCTTTAGCTAGAGAAATTTAGGAGTTTTTTTTTAATTTTTTCTTTCTCACCTCTGCTAATAGTAGGAAAATGGATTTAAAAATAGATGTCCCAAAAGTTAGTCGTCCCTCTACAAGTGTACCTCAATTTAAAGAAGAGAGATATTGGGAGGGCCAGCAGGTGGCATGGTGGTTAAGGGTGTTGGACTCCCACATGGCAGACCCTGGCTTGAGTCCCTGACCTGGCGGCTTACTTTCTCACTTTCCTTCTCTTTCTCTCTCACTCTGTCCCTCTCTGGTCAAATTAAAATAAATGAATGAATAAATAAAGTTCAATAAACTAATTTTTTTTTTTTTTTTTTTTTTTTGGGGGGGTTTTTTTTGCTATAGGGCTCGCCAGAAAGACAAGAGACAGACAGAAAGTGAGAAATCACCCCCCGGGGGGATGGCCATGCGGCAATCCCGTCTCCTCCATTTTCCTCTCGGGATCTTGGGCACGCATGCACACATACCCAGCGTGAGTTTAAGCCACTGGGTCTGAGACTTGAACCACGGTCGACTACATGGGAGTCCAGCGATATAGCCATTACACTAACTGCTGGTCCCAGAAGAAATTTTTACTATAGGGCATGAGTGCTTGCTGGAGAGAGAAACACATAGAAAGCAAGAAATCACCCCCCAGCAGTGATGGCCACATCACAATCCCTTCTCCTCCATTCTCCTCTCAGGATTTTGGGTATGCATGCACATGCACTCTGTGTGAGTTTGAAGCCTCCAAGTCTGGGACCGGAATCACAATTGGCCACACGGGAGTCCTGTGATGTAACTATTACACCATCTGCTGGTCTTGGCCCTTCTTAACTCTTCTACCCATAGTAACCAGGGTAATCTTTACAGATCTTCGTAGGATCACATCACTAGCCTTCGTGAAACCTTGTCATGATTCCCAGTTGCTCTTAAGAGTAAAATCCAGTTTTCTTAAACCTTCTGTGATCTGGCCCTTGCTCACCTTTCCAGTTTTATCTTGTACTACTCTTCCACTCCCGCCTTCAGTTATTTTCTCTGTCAGTTTTTTTGTTTTGTTTTGCTTTGTTTTGCTCTGGGACAGCTTTGCTCTAGAGTAGTACTGACAATAGAACATTCTGTGAAGACGGGAGAGGGCACTAGACTCCCGCATGGCCCACCACGGTTTGAGTCCCAGACTTGGTGGCTTGCTTTCTCTTTTTCTCTCTCTGTTTCTCTCTGTCCTTCTCTGGTTAAATTAAAATAAGTAACTAGAACAGAGATAAAGGACTAGCAGTTGGCGTAATGGCTATGTCGCTGGACTTCCACGTAGTTGACTGTGGTTCGAGTCCCGAACCCAGTAGCTTAAACTCAAGTCGGGTGCATGTGCCCAAAATCCCAAGAAGAGAATGGCGGAGAAGGGATTGTGGCGTGGTCATCCCCTCTGGGGGGTGATTTCTCACTTTCTGTCTCTCTCTCTGTCTTTCTGGTGAGCACACGCACCCTATAGCAAAAACGTCTCCCCCCAAAAAACAGTTAAGTAATTCTTTAAAAAAAAAAAATTTGTGAAGAGGAAATTTTTTTTTTAAGAGAGATTTTTGCTAGTGGGCACATGTGCTTGCTGGAAAGACAGAGAAAGACTGAGACAGAAAGGAAGAAATCACCTACAGGGAGGATGGCCACATTGCATTTCCTTCTCTCCCACTCTCCTGTTTAGATTTTGGGCATGTACTCACATGCACCCAGCATGAGTTTATTTTTTTCTTTTAAGAATTATGTATTTATTTAATTCCACTTGTTAATGTTTTTAGAATTTGACCAGAGAGTGACAGAGACAGAAAGGGAAAGGGAGAAAGCAAGCCGCCAGGTCTGGGACTCAAACTGCGGTCAGCCATGTGGGAATTCAGTGCCTTTAACCGCCACATCACCTGGCAGCACCCCAAGCATGAGTTTTAAGCCACTGGGTCTGGGATTTGAACTGCAGTTGACTATGTGGGAGTCTGTAGTGACGTAACCATTATGCCATCTGCTGATCCCCAAGGCAAAATTTCCTGTATCTGTACTGTCCGGTTTGCTAGCCGTTAGCGCACATGTTGCTGTTGGGCACTTGAAATATGACTAGTGGGACCGAGATGCTGAATTCTTAAGGAACTTAGAATGTGAATAGCCCCCTGTGGCTGCCGTGGGGACAGCACAGCTCTGGTGTTTGTGTGTTCTTCTGTCTGCCTTGGCATACTCCGGCTCTCCTGGCCTACTGCTGCTCATCTCAGATTTCAGCTTATTGCTGCTTCAGCAAGGAAATCTCAAGTTATGTCTCAACTTCAGTACCTTTCCTATACAGTAGATAGTATCAGTGGAGTTGTCCATTTTTCCAGTTGAGTAGTTATCTCCCACTTAAAAGCAAGGATCATGCCTGATTTCTTTTCACCGTTAGATGGCCAGCCTCCAGCACAGTGCTTGGAACTTAGTAGGGGTTTGATAAATTCATTGAATGAATGAACTTTCTGAAGCATTATCTGCCTTTTTAGAATATTACAGTCCTTGGAAAAAGTTCACAGGATGTTTTCCTAACTTGTGACACTCTGAAAGGTCCTTCTCGGAACATGTGTACTATATGGGCAGGTAGAAGGGGTTCAGAACCTATAGGTAGGGGTCTGTCTTTGGGAAGTGCTTGGCGTTATACTATGGTCTGTGCAGTGGTGTAATGTAGGCTTTTCAGGGTGTGTCTCACTTTGTCCAGTTTGTCATATGTAAGCTTAGGCCTGAGTTCACCAAATGCTTAATTCTGCATGTCATCTCCAGTAGCACAGTGCCCAGCACATGGGCTTGAATGCTAATTGTCAATGCTTTGAAAACCACAGCATTCCATGTGAGGATGTAAGAGAAGCTCCTCTTTAGAGGCTTGGGTGGATGGTTCAGAGGATGAGCTTAGACTTCATTAGACAACAATTATAAATAAAAGGTATTTCGACAGCCCGTTCTGAATAGAACAGCAGAGTCTCCCACCCAGTCTCCCTCAAGTTGCAGGAAAAATTCAGGAATAGGAAAAATTCTGAAGCGAAGGCCAGCCTATGACTGATGGCTCATTGTATATTAGCTACCTAGACGTTTCCTTCCTGAGGGCCTGTTTCTGGGAATAATGGAGCTGGCTGATGGGGAACGGGAAGAAGGTCTGCATGGTTTCATGCTGAGATGAGTTCCGTGGCATGTGTAATTGTACGTAGGTGGATTCTGAAGAGCCCGTCTTTGAGGCTGTAATCAACTGGGTGAAGCATGCCAAGAAGGAGCGAGAGGAGTCCTTGCCTGACCTGCTGCAGTATGTGCGGATGCCCTTGTTGACCCCCAGGTACATCACGGATGTCATAGACGCTGAGGTGGGTATGCAGGGGACATGGGGGCAGCATCGTGTCTAGCTCTTAGTCTGCTATTGTGTACTGAAAGTCGATGATTTCACTGTAGCCACAGAGTCCTGGTTCACCTTTCCA